CTCGCTGCTGCTTAGAAATTGAATTTCATTATTATATTTTATAAATATTTTCCTCCACGGCTCATCACCTGATTGCCCGCTTGTTGCTAAGGTCCTGCCAGCCGGGGAGGGTGGCGGTGGCCGCTTCTTCTCAGGTGTGCCTGTGGCCCGAATGGAAACCCATCAAGGTGCGATTTATGTTCATTAAGTGCTTGTCAAAACTGAAAAATTTTCTAATCAACAGCAATCTAGCTGCGGCCCCCTCAGTGGCTGGGAGGGCCGCCTCTGCACATCGGCTGTTTGCCTGTTACAACTCTAGGCTAAAAATCCGCTGATGATTACATTAGGCTAAGCTGCGAAGTAAATGAACCATGTCTTATTTAGGCGCCACTGGCTTCAGTGCAGTCCTGCCCCACAGGGCACTTGATAGCGTTTTATGGCTTTAAAATTAGTGTAGCTTCCCGCTTGCTGCAGGGCGCTGCATGTTATGCCTTTGAACTCAATAAGCAAAGGGAAGGGGCCTTTTGTTTTCCCCCCCTATTTTTCTCCCTTGCATTTTAGCAATTTCGTTTTGCATCTTTTCCAGACGGCATTTTGCAATAAAAATGTCTGACGACCCGTGCATGCCTCCCCCACCAAAAACAAAACAAAACAAAAAAAAAAAAAGGGAACAGGGGAAGGAAAAGTAAAAAACGGCAGGCAGTTCTAAAGGACACGTTTTCTCCCCTTCCTACGAAGTGAGAAGCAGCTGTAGCCTTGCAGGCCGCCCCCCAACAGCGCATCGCGTCAGCCTCGGGGTGCCCACGTGAGGCCCAGGGCAGGTCCCCCGGGGGTATTGAGAGCCCACTGTCCAGCTTCGGCCCCTGTCTAGGCTCCTCTCAAATACTCTCAGTAACCGTCACAGCCACCCAGGAGCCGAGGTCGCTTTCGCTTCCTTTGAAAGATGGAAAGTGGGGCCCAGGGTCACTGAATCACGTGCCCCCCAAAGGGCGGGCGGGTGCAGGCCCAGGACGAAGCCTGTGGCTCTGTCCTCTAGACTGTCCGTGGTGTCGGGAGCAAGGACAGCATGGTCACCCACGAGTCTGCCCGGGTCCCAGGGAAACGGCCGGGCCGAGGCCTGGCAGGCGCCGGCCGCCACTCCTGTCAGGGTGCCGTGGAGGTGACCGTTGAGACTCCAGAGGGCCAGGCCCGCTGAAAGTGTGCCCTGGGGGGGCTTCAGTGTCCTAAGGGGCAAGAACTGGGAAGACAAGGACAAGGCACGCCTGCTGGGCCAGAGGCGCACCCGGTCTGCGATCTGAAGGCTTTAAAGCCCCCGGCCAGATCTGAGGGGTGGTGGCGAACGCTCCCTTGAACTCGGAACCCCGACGGCTCGGTGCCGGTCCAGTTGCCCCTCGCCGCATTTACCAAGACGCGCATGGCCGCGGCTGGGCGCCGGCTCGGGGTCGCCCTGGCTTGGGGGAGGACCCGGGGGGCGGGCAGGCGGGGTCGCTGTCGTCTCCGACACATTCACTTTGTAGAGCCTGGGTCTGAGCACGCTTGGGCTGCAACTGGGCAGTATCAGTCTGACCTAAACTGGGAGAAGCCTCTCCTGCGGCACAAAGCTCGGCAGGCCGGGCCGGCCAGACAGACGCCGTCCAGGAGCAGGTGTGTCCGCAATTCAGTTTCCAGTTTGCCACTTAGATTTCTACTCTGGTGGCCCACCCCTGGGCCAGCGTTGGCCTCACGCCCACACGGGGTGGACGCGGGGCCCCGCACGCTCGGCTGGGGCGCGGGCCTGGAGTGGTGCCCAGTTCTCCGATGTGGCGAAGGGGACCCCAGGCACCCCCAGCCTGCTGTTTGACCAGCCCTGTGGGGTGGCCCAGCCAGCAGACACCACTTAAGTCGGTCCTAACCGACGCCTTCGCCTCGGGCCCTTGGCACGTCTGGTTTGCCGGTCATGCCTCTCTCGATGGCCACCGTCACAGCGGACAGTGGACTGTGCTGGTGGGCGGAGCCAGGGACATCCAGAAGCCCAGCACCGGGCACTGCGGGCTGTCCGGGACAGGTGTCACTCCCCTGCCATGCTGACGTGACGGGGAGGCGTTGCGGGAAGGGGACACCGTGCCCGCGGGCTGTGGGAGCCCCGTGGCCGTGACCCGGGACGTGGGCACGGCGCTCCAGTGTCGCTGTCCTCTGCGCCTGTGCTGGTTTGAGGCGGCTGCTCTTGTTTGTCCGGGTCAAGCTGGCCGTGCCCGGCCCGGGGCAGGTCTTCGCAGGCCGGCCGCCCCTGAGAGGCGCTGCCTGGCCGTGCGTGGCACAGCGGTGGCCCCGACAGTGGTGTCCGTGCTTGTCTATCGCCCCGCACGAGGGCCTTGACTAGCCGCGCTCGCCCTCCTGCTCCGCGCCAGGCTGCCTCTCCTCCTCGCCAGCCTTCTCCCTGGGCGGGGGGGCCGGGGCGCCCCCCCCCCCACCGGCCGTGCCGGGGCCACGCAGGTCTCAGCAAACCCGTCTCTGCCTGCTCGCGTCTGAGCAAGCGTCCTTTGCTCTCCTCTCCCTTTTCATAATAAATCTGCCCTTTTGGATATAAAAGAAAAAAAAAGAACTTGCACAAACGACTGTTCCTCTTGTTCCTCTTTGAACCCAGACGCTGGAGAAGTGCAGTGAAGATAGGCACGAGGGTCCCTCCGGGAGCGGCACAGCCCGAGGCCGTGTGTCCTGTCTGCTGCGCTCAGCTCTCGGCCAGTCAGGGGAGGGGACAGTAGATGAGACGGTGGCGCGGGGCCCCTTCATCTCCCTAACAGTGAGCCGGGTTCCAGAAGTGCACTGAGGGGCCCCAAAGAGGTTTTTGTCTCTGTGAACCAGATGCACCGAGACTTAGTTCGACACGGACCGAGATGGATACTAGGTGGAAACTGAGAACGGTTTCCACTAGCCCGGTGCGTCCCTGGACGCAGTAAGCAGCCACCCTTGACTCAGTAGTGCCACGCAAGTACGATTTTACTAAGGAATACGTGTTCCCAACAAGAGAGCCCTGAGAAGAGGGCCCCGGGCGCCTTTTCCCCCGGCGTGGGGCGTCTGGTTCAGTAGAAAGAGCCTCCGCCTGCCGGCGGTGCTGGCAGGCAGCCGGGTGGGCATGTGGAGGAGCCGGCGCCCTCGGGAGCGTGCGAGTGGGCGAGGAAGGCGTTGACAGCCACGTCAGGTCACTGTGATGAGCTTAGCCACGACACCAAAAACCCGCTTGTGGTAGTTTCTTCAGGCCCAGGAAGTTAGTGCAGCCGCTAAAATTGCGCCCTGAAGCGCCTCCTTCCCCCTGTCTTGCGCCCGCGCGAGGTGCGGGGTGAGTGAGTCCAGGCATGAGCCCGTGCAGGAGCGGCGTCTCCCAGAGGTGTGCCCTCCCCCGGCGAGCCCTCACCCTGGAGCCCCGTGCACACTCACGGGCGTCACCACCAGCTTGCCAGAAAGAAACCCACGCATTGGAAGGCGTCGAGCTTTGGGGGGCAACACGAGGTTTCCACACTCGCGGCCCGGGGGAAGCGCAGGTCTTAGGGCTGCGACTACCGTCAGCTGTCCCCGGCAGTCCTCACTGCCCTCGTTTTTAAGGGAATGATCTGCCAGATGCCCACGACCGAGAGCCGCCGTCACACCTGACGGCTTCTCTCAGCGACAAGGTTGTCCGCAAAACCGGGGCTGGTGCCGCTTGCGAGGCCCCTGGATGCTTCTCTGCAAGCCCAGCCTGGGCCGGCCGCACCCTCTCAATCACCATCTCCCCCAGGGGACGGAACGACATCGTGGACGGCCGAAATGTTTTTAGATCAGTAGCTGCTGTTCTGTCTTTTGTCTGTCTGGGGTGTGCGTGGGGCCCCCTCTCCTCTCCTGAGGGAGGGGAGGAGGCAGGTGACGCCCAGCACAGCCTGGAGCGCCCCACTCTAGCGGCCGCTTCCGCCACCGCTCTCGCCAAATCGCATCATGGCAGATGTCCACCTGCCGAGAAAGCACACGATGCGGTAGAGCTGTTTCGAAAGTAATAGTGAACTTGTGAGCCCCAGTGGGGCGTTGGGGACCAGCTTGGAGGGCTGCTGAGCTCGGTGATGCAGAGGAACCCCCCCCCGTCCCCCCCCCCCATTAGCTTGGCCGTGGCCCCCAGGCCAGGAAACTCTCGGTGCCTCTCGCAGTGAGAACACTTCGACAAAATCCTACCTGTCGCTGTAACACCTCCAGTTCCTCCACCTTCGAATGCACTTAGAATCCAGAATTTACTGGGGAAACTAATTGGAGCAAAGGTTTCCTTTGCTTCCCTTGCTCTGGTGTGGAGTGGAGAGGGGGTGCTTTTTCGGCGGGAGCAGAAAGCGCGGTGATGGGGCCGCGCCGCCGGGCTGGGAGGTCACGCCGCGGCGCTGCCCCGGGTCCGGCTGTGAGGGGCCCGCTGTGACCCTCGCGCGCACCGAGCAACCCATCCTTCACCAGACAGCCAAAGGTAACGTCGGATGCGAGGCAGTGAGAATCAATATCGTGAGAGTATTTTTAGGGACTGTTGATGGATTGCTGTATTTTGAGCTCAACTTCCAGTGCCAGATGCCCCAGAGCTGACTAAGATGAAGTCACCACTTACTGAGGACGTCCACAGGGCCACTGCGCAGGGCGGCGGGCCCGGATGCCCGCCCGGACCCCCGCTCATCCGTCTGCAGCTTCGGGGAGCACGTCTGTGCTTGGGCGGCCCCCGCTGCGCGTTGACCAGGGCTTTCTCCCGCTGCCCCCCGGGCGGGCCCACGGCCGCAGTGGCTGGCCTCCGGCCCTGCTGCCCACGCCGGTGAGCTTGTTCGACAACGCTCTGTAACAGGGAATCGATGAAACTCAAGTATCGGGCGGCACCGAACGCCCGGGCGCTGACGACTCCCCGGCCCTCGCGGAGGGCGGCCCCCCAGAAGGTGGGAGCCCGGTCTGCGGCCCTTCTGCCGCAGGCCCGAGCCGGGGTCCCTGGCCCAGCTCTCGGCTGCTAGCGGGTTTCTCTCATCGCACCTCATTTGCATGTGGGACATCAATTAGCATGTTTGTTGAGGCTAATTGAATGAAACTCAATCATAGCTCTTAATTGCTTGACTATGTGAAAAGAAATCACATTAATGCAGCTAATTAAGTGTGCGGCAATAGATGCAACATAATTAGGAGCGAAACGTGGAAAACAAGGGGTGGCAAGGGGCGGCGGAGGTGCTGAGGGGCGCGGCCGGCGCCTCGACGCGGCCTTCTGCGCGGGCCTTCTGCGCGGGACGTAATCCAGGGTGAGCGTGGACGAGCGAGAAGGAAAATGCAAATAGGCTTGCAATTACTACTTTTTCAAGCTGTTGAGGGGCAGGCATGGCACCTCTGGGGGCCTGGCTCTTGAGTGGGCCTCGGGGACTTGTTAAGTGCTGTTTAAAAGTACTTGGTTTTGAATTACCCTCGCGCCTTGTTAAGGCTTCTTCCCCTTTTATCTGCCATCAGCATTTTCTGCCGGAACACAGACTGGGTAGTAGCTGGGACATTTGCATATCAAAATGGAGCTGCAGCCTTTATTTCACCCAGCGAGGTCCCTCCCTCCGAGCAGCCACTGCTCAGCCCACTTCCAAGCAGGGGACATTGTTTGGTGGGTGCTTTAATTCCGGAGTGCCGGGGCGCAGATGAAAAGGACGCGCGTCCTTTCAAACCAGAGACTCGGCGTCCTTTCTCTGCGGAGAAGCAAGACACCGGGACTCACGTGTCCCTGCCTCCCCGGCTCCGGGGCACCGCCGCGAAGGCTTTCATGGGCTGGGAGGTGCATTTTGTAAAGTTTGTGAAAATACAAGAATTGCCCATGTGAGACTGCGGTCTTTTTAGAGCTAGCCCTTCTGAAGTTTCAGCGCCGAACTCGGGCAAGAAAACAGCCCGGCTCACGCTGCGCCCAAGATGGATGTGGCCACTCGCTGCTCTCAGATCCAGAGCGGGCGCCCGAGCGTCTCCGTAATAATTTTAAATAAAATATCCTGGTTATTGTATGCTAAAACATGCCTATTACAGGAGCCCATGCTGCGGCTTAGTCACTCTCTGATTAGCCTCGTTTTAGAGCCCATAAGCAATAAATGCTCAATTACACTCCTGTTATTGTATTTTAATTTGTTAAGAATTGGCATTAAAGAAGAAAGTTATAGCAAGTTGATATTTCCAAAGGAGTAACTGTGGGAAGGGGTCCGTGCCTCGCCAGCCCTGACTTTGGTTGCGGAAGGTGGGCGTGCAGCGGGCCGGAGGTGTGAGTAGCCGGATGAAAGACGCCTAGGCGTGACCTCGGCGCGCGTGACCCCGACTCCCACTGGCCGGTGACCACTTCCCGCGTGCGCGTCCTGCCGGCCACAGGCGCGGCCCCGCACCTGCAGGCGGCCTCAGCCCAGGCGCCTGGCGGGACTGTCTTTGCTCCGCGCCCCTCCAGAGCCACTGTCTGTGGGCAGGCCCTGCACTGCAGGGTGGGCCCTTGGGGCACAGGAAGCCGCGTGTCCTAGTCCTGCCCTTCCGCAGCCCTGACGCCCTCCAGGATGCCCAGTGGAGGCAGGACTGCCCCTGGGCCTAGTCCTAGGGGCATGAAGGCGCGGTCAGCCTGGGCTGGCTGGGGCCTCTGCTCCCAGCCCCGCTGACGGCCGCACCAGCGTGGTCCAGCTGCCGCCCGTGGCTTATCGTCGGCACGGTCAGCCCCGTGAAGGGTGTCGAACCCTGCCCACGGCGCATCCCTGCTTGGCTTCGGGGCCCCGGTCCTCCCAGTTCTAGAATCTGCTTTTTGGTGCAGCTTCTTCTGCACCAAGAATTGACCAGCTGGGATTAAGAAGATGTGTTCTCTAGTGCTCGGCGGAATACTATTCCGTCGCCCAGAAAGGTGAAGTCTTGCCGTTTTCGTCAGCGTGGATGAGCCCTGGGGGATTTTGCTACGTGAAACAAATCAGGAGAGAATGGCAGCTATCACATGATTTCATTTACTTGCAGAATATAAAGAGGGAGAAAACAAACAGGACGCAGACAATCCCTTAGCCTCCGACCACAGCGTGGTGGTGACCAGGCGGAAGGGGGAGGGCGGCCGTGGGGGCTGGCGGAGGGTGTGGGTGATCAAGGTGCAGCTGC